GGGAATCGGGGAGACAGCAAGACAAGACAAAGGGCAACCTAGGGAATCAGGGAGACAACAAGGCAAGACAAAGGGCAACCTAGGGAATCGAGGAGATAACAAGGTAAGACAAAGGGCAACCTAGAGAATCAGGGAGACAGCAAAGCGAGACAAATGGCTACCTAGGGAATATGGAACACAGCAAGGCAAGACAAATGGTAATCTATGGAATTGGGGAGATAGTAAGGCAAGACAAAAGGCAACCTAGAGAATCAGGGAGACGGCAAGACAAATGGTAACTAGGGAATCGGGGAGATCGCAAGGGAAGACAAAGGACAACTTAGGGAATCGATTAGATAGCAAGGTAAAACAAATGGCAACCAAGGGAATCGGGGAGATAGCAAGGGAAGACAAATGGCAACCATGGGAATCGGGGAGATAGCAAGGTAAGACAAATGGCAACCAAGGGAATCAGGGAGAAAGCAAGGCAATACAAAGGGCAACCTGATGGAATCGGGGAGATAGCAAGGCGAGACAAAGGGCAACCTAAGGAATCGGGGAAAAATCAAGGCAAGACAAAGGGCAACCTAGGGAATCGAGGAGATAACAAGGAAAGACAAAGGGCAACCTAGAGAATCAGGGAGACAGCAAAGCGAGACAAATGGCTACCTAGGGAATATGGAACACAGCAAGGCAAGACAAATGGTAACCTATGGAATTGGGGAGATAGTAAGGCAAGACAAAAGGCAACCTAGAGAATCAGGGAGACAACAAGGCAAGACAAATGGTAACTAGGGAATCGGGGAGATCGCAGGGGAAGACAAAGGACAACTTAGGGAATCGATTAGATAGCAAGGTAAAACAAATGGCAACCAAGGGAATCGGGGAGATAGCAAGGGAAGACAAATGGCAACCATGGGAATCGGGGAGATAGCAAGGTAAGACAAATGGCAACCAAGGGAATCAGGGAGAAAGCAAGGCAATACAAAGGGCAACCTGATGGAATCGGGGAGATAGCAAGGCGAGACAAAGGGCAACCTAAGGAATCGGGGAAAAATCAAGGCAAGACAAAGGGCAACCTAGGGAATTGGGAAGATAGTAAGGCAAGACAAGAGGCAACCTAGAGAATCAGGGAGACAACAAGGCAAGACAAATGGTAACCTAGGGAATCGGGGAGACAGCAAGGCAAGACAAATAGCAACCTAGGGAATCGGGGAGAAAGCAAGGCAATACAAAGGGCAACCTGATGGAATCGGGGAGATAGCAAGGCGAGACAAAGGGCAACCTAAGGAATCGGGGAAACATCAAGGCAAGACAAAGGGCAACCTAGGGAATTGGGAAGATAGTAAGGCAAGACAAGAGGCAACCTAGAGAATCAGGGAGACAACAAGGCAAGACAAATGGTAACCTAGGGAATCGGGGAGATCGCAAGGGAAGACAAAGGACAACTTAGGGAATCGATTAGATAGCAAGGTAAAACAAATGGCAACCTAGAGAATCGGGGAGATAGCATGGGAAGACAAATGGCAACCATGGGAATCGGGGAGATAGCAAGGTAAGACAAATGGCAACCAAGGGAATCAGGGAGACAGCAAGGTTAGACGATTGCAACCTAGGGATCCGGGGAGACAGCAAGGCAAGACAAATGGCAACCTAGGGAATCGGGGAGAAAGCAAAGCAATACAAAGGGCAACCTGATGGAATCTGGGAGACAGCAAGGCAAGACAAAGGGCAACCTAAGGAATCGGGGAGACAGCAAGGCAATACAAAGGGCAACCTAAGGAATCGGGGAGATAGCAAGGCAAAACAAAGGGCAAACTAGGGAATCGGGGAGATAACAAGGCAATACAAAGGGCAACCTAAGGAATCGGGGAGATAGCAAGGCAAAACAAAGGGCAACCTAGGGAATCGGGGAGATAACAAGGCAAGACAAAGATCAACCTAGGGAATCGATGAGATGGCAAGACAAATGGCAACCTATAGGAATAGGGGAGATAGCAAACAAAGGTAAATATGTAAACACATACATAGTTTCCTGAATTCGATGAAGGACAGGACGACGACTGTCATATGCTAAAGAAAACATGTATCCTACCAGCGCACCTCATCTCGTCTCCATTGTTATGTCGGTGTTCGTGATGTTCTCTCCTTTTGGATCTCTCTGGTTCCTGTTGATGTCTATCCTTAATGTTTTTGTGTCCCCTCAGTCCATGATGTTGCATCTCCTTTTGTTGTCTTTTGCGTTCCTGTTTGTTTAGTATTTAGTATAGCTCTATGTCCGACTTGGCAATTAGGTGGACTTTCTATCTATGTGAAGCGAGTTCAATGAAGGCGACAGATTAATGGCAGCGAGGCAAAGCACGTGGACCCCCTACCTATGTCAACCGATTTCAAGGAAGGCGAAAGAAATGGCAGCAGTCAGCACACGTGAACTTCCCATTCCTACTGAATTCATGGAAAATAAGATGAAAATCAACAAAACAGAACACGTGGATTTCCTATGTCAAATAAGTTCCAGAAAGGCGAGATCGCCGAAAGCAAGAGAGAGCACGTAGAATTGTCATGTTAACTTCCAAACTCTGTCAACCCCTGTTACTCACGGATCGTTTTCGATCTATGCTGAATATATTTTACGGCCGTAGCATTGCCTTAATTTCAATGTTTTCTGGATTATAGATCAGTTCATCGTGTTTTATTTTACAGATGGCGACATTGTCATTGAGGTTCGACTCCTCGATGTGACATGAAAAACTATTGAGTCACCTACCCGATCACGTGCGTTTTATCTGAGTACTCAGGTTTTCTCCAACATTAAAACCCTCTGTGCATTTCCATCCGAGTCAACAAGAGCGATCAATATAAGTTGGAAAAATCTGTTTCATAACTGTTGTAAAGTAAATGAAGCTTATATTCAATACGACACCTGAAGTTCGAACACCAGAAGTGCGTTACAGAGTGAAGACCAAAGTATAACACAACCATTCTCACGTCGGAATAAAGACAGTCTGACAAGAGCGTACCTTTCTCGACGGATGCTCAATTGTGTCTCCTATTCTATCTCTTATCAAACTGCAATGATTGAATCCCAAATAGAACACCATTTCACGTTTGCAACTTTTTGTTGTGTCATTTTCAGTTTTGTTCAAATCCTGACGTGATTATTTTCTGTTTGGTTGATTACTTCCTGGGTTCACCACAATGCCTTGTAGATAAGTGTGTGTGTGTGTGTTTCACATTTTTCTCGCCGTGTATCTATGACGTCACCTGATTTATAAGTCAAGTGAATATGACCAAAGCTTATGACCTAAGCTCATGACGTCTTTTGGCATAAACAGTACAGATATTGAGTCAGTTGTATATGACCCACGCGGATGACGTCTGTCAACAATATAGTAAGATATTAATGGGGTAATCGATTGGTGTTGTTTAACTTTGTAAATGTATTTGACAAACTTGTAACAGGAAACGGCGAACGAATCACCAGTGCGCTTGTTGGCAGTATTTGCAAGGTTGCATAGAGCACAACGGAAAATATGTCGCCTGGTTCTTTACAACTCCAAAAAAACACAGATGGAAATGTAGGAATATACCTGTGGTTCAGTCAAGTGAATGGTGAAGCACAGAATAAAGAATCTAACTCAGCAGTTATTCTTCAGAGAAGTAAAGAACTGCATAACGAGACCAGTCAGAGTGCACACGATCTTGATTATAGCTGACTATCCATGTCGGTCAACCCATATAAAGTGAGGAAAAAATGATAACAAAATGTCTAGTCAAAACCATTGTTAGTTTAGCAGCGAGCGACATCGGCACAGTAGGTAAATCCTTCCGCCTCTTGTGTGGAAGTGTCACCATGGTACATTTGAGGAGAGCCAAAGAAGCTGCAAGTCAAACTTTCGTCACAGCCAATTAAAGTGCTAGCTCACTGAAATAGCTAAGACCATGCCACAGTCACTCAGAGCAGTACTTCACCCGGTCACATTATACTAACTTACTCCAAATGGTGAACGTTAAGCAGGAATAAAACGGCCATGACATATCCAAAGTATGCGACATCGAGAGCAGAACTCTTGGATTTTGAAGTTAGATAGTCTTGTGTCTGAATTTGAGTTAGAAGTCCATAGACAATACCGTGATGCAAAGTGGACAAGGAAAAAAATATAAAATGAAGTCATTATAAGGGAGGTAACTTGAAATAAATGTCATGCTGCCGTTAAAAATATAAATTTCAGACCGAGTCGTGCAATTTGATAGCTCTGATCAACGCATTACTGTTCACCCTCAAAGGCAGTGTGCCGAGTCCGCTGAGATCTGGGTTACATCTTATAAACAAGGTTTTATAGACTCGTGTTGAAGGAGACCCATGTAACATGTAGCATTGTATGTGTACACCCCGTCTGTAATACAGAAGCCCACCTACGACTTAGCGAGGATTGTTTGATACACCTTACATACAAATACATGTACATTGCCACGGCTTTTGTTATAATGTTGTCAATAGGAAAATACGCACCAAGATAGAGGAGAGAAAATTAACGGGTTAGCGTGTTGTAATCCGTGTGTACAGAGACGTAAGCGATACCCTTTGCCCTGGATAGCCAAGAACTGGGAGGACGGCATTTCCTTCAAATCTCTTGACTTCACACTTATTTCTGTATTCGTTTTAATTATACCAAAGTAGAAAAACTTGATTGAAACAAAAAAACATTCCGTTTTTTCCAAAGCGGCCAAAAATAAATCTTAATTGTGTGTTGAATCAGAGACGTATATAATAACGGTTGAATGATACCAGGAAATGACAAAATAAATAAATAAAAAAAAACCAAGATATAACATCACTTTAGATTCAAGAAAATAAATCTGTGTGTATGAGATACCGTGGTGTAGATAGATCTATGTGTATATATGATATGATCGACTACTAGGTCGGAGCTAACACTGACTGGCCTAAAATGACGCTATCACGACCGCAGCTATATATACGTGCGTGTTGCTGTTTCCTGTCTAGTGGTCCGCTATCCCATGACGTTCGAGCTGGTAACAATAGGCCCTCATTCAATTCTCTGCTCAAACAATTATAGTAAATTGTCGAGTGCAGTAAAAATCATCGAAGCGAGGCAAAAACTCCGAGTCAGTGTCTTCATCGTGTGTACTCGGACTGTTCAGGTAAAGCGGCATACCGATATACCGGCCGAGCTGGACTACTCGGCGTGGCAATGACAGTACCATGTAAACACTGACCGAGTCAGTCTCAAATTGTCGGTAAAATCTAACTAAATCTTCTACTAAAGTCAGCGTTAATACACAGTGGTGCAGTTCACCTTTCGCCTCGCATGAGGTGTATTCCGTTTCATACTATGACCCGACAGACGGTAGTTTATAGCCGACTGCCTTCCTCAACTTCCTGAAACCCCCGTATCGATGAATGGATTAGCCCGAAAATTGGAAAGCGTGCCGTTGTATGCTAGCTGTAGCCATAGGCAGAGTGGCCGACTCTCGGTGGTAGGACGGCCATACCGAACTGTGTGTACTAGACTTTAGCAAATCGAGTGACGCTGTCAGCTGATCAGCAAATACTAAAGTCGAGGAACAGAGACAATGGTGCAGATATAGTGTGTGGGGTAGTGACAGTCGAGTTGGAGGCACTGTCAAGGTGGAGTCCGGGCCAGGTTTGACAGGGGCGCTGTTTATATGTGGAGCAGTACTATGTGTTACTGGTTTTACCCTAAGTAGTGATCGGCCGGTGGATTCTATATACATATATCTCAACGGGACCAGCATCGTCTCATAAAAACCTCACAGTGCAGGCGGTGGATAGCATGGGGGATTTGTCATCCCCTAAAAGGCGGGAAGTTTTTGATCGTCTGCGAAGGAGATACGAATTTTATCGCCGCCATCAAAACGGGTCATTGAGGAGATTCGAAAACACAATAAACGGTTTGTACGAACAACAACGCCAAGACACTGTTTTACTACACCAAAGATGGCTGGAGAGCAGGGCTAAGAAAGTATCCAAGCAGTCCAAGGCGAGCAAAGAGTCCAGCGCCGGACACGGGACTGACCCCCGTAACCTCGTAGTAACGGTAAGCAACCCATTCATAAAAATCATTTTACTGGACCGCGGGACCCCTGAACGTACCCCTGCGATCAGTTGGCCTGGATATTTTCCCACACTCAGTCTAACGCGATGTGTTACTGGCTACCCGTCATTGTACAAGCCTTGTCGTATAGAAATCGACACTATTTCTCCAGTGACCATTCAGAAAGGTGTTTTGACCTTCCTTAATTAACTGACCATTGAGTCAAGGTGTGTACCCGCTGACCTCTACATAGTACGTATATACTATTCTTTATAATCCATGTATATCACAGGAACACTGACCTACATGTACATATTGGCAATCCGTTCGTCATATATATAAATAAGTTAAAATCACACTGTCATAAATTCGACCTTTGTTTACTTTCGGATACGTAGGCGCTACCCTAAGAGGTTCTTGTTATTGTAAGGAAAAAACTGCGTGGGAAGCTGTGTATAGTTTATCATAAACCCCGAGTATACACACGCTTATATATAGGAAGTGATTCGTAACATACCGTCACACCGTGTGGGTACACAAGTGTGTGTGTGTGCCGGTACACATGGAAACTAAAAACTCTATAAGGGGAAAGTTTAATCTTCCGTTGCTAATTTTTTTCTTGAAATGGACTTTCGGAACTTCGAGAAAATTGTAGGAAATTCTCATTTTAAAATGTTAACGGTTAGGATTTCCTCGTTCTAGCTTGTGTTCTCGGTAAAGAGAACATCCGAATTATTCTGTTTTTATACCTATTTGAAGTATGTAGGAGTATAACACTTAGGTGAATGGGGATATATGAAGCTAATAGGATTGACAGTTTCGATAACGAAGCCGTACCGAGATATTGTCCGGTGGACGAATGTACTATTCAGAATGGAACTTAGCGACACTACATATGCTTCAAACGGTAAAAACAATGCTTTTTTAATGAATGCCTGGAAATGTATATCTCAAATGGTCGATAAATATATGTAATATCTACTAAGTAATGAAGACGAGGACAGGTACAATAAAAATCAAAAGTTATCTTTTACCCCTTGATAATGTCACACAGTGATAAATGACGTTTTCTTATGTAAAAAAGAACACAAATACTGTTAACAAAACGTAAAATTGTTGACATGAAGTTGTGTGTTTAATTTCAAACTTTCCCTTTATACTGTAGGGGATCAGAATATCAAGATGAGGAGTGTATAGTTTCTCTTTAAATGAATTGAATTTAAAGTGTACCTATAACATTGAATTTGTCTAGTAACTTTTCCGACACTGTAATAGAAGACCTAAGAGCTCGGTATTTTACAGCACTGGTATCTATTTAGATCCTCGACCAATCTGTAAAAACGGCCGAACCGACAGTTATCTTGACCGCGTTCTTTGTAAGCCAGTCTGGAAATCGGATACTACAAGTTTGAGGCGAACTATCCCCTCAACAGGAGGACAGGTGGCCGTGTGTAACTTAAGAGTAGGAATCCTGAGCTACTTTCGGATTCCGTATGGTATCCCGATTCCCGACTTCGGTAATTTTTAGAAATTGTTGTATTGATGTTAACTACTAAACCTTTCCATGTATCCTATACCTTTCCATGTATCCTATACCTTTCCATGTATCCTATACCTTTCCATGTATCCGCTCGAAAACCTTTCCGGGACATGATCCTAAAGTAAGTTGACACCGGCGCGTTCCGAAGTTAATTATAATTTAGTAATTTTCTAATCGACACTCGAACACTTTGTATAACACGTGGGACTAACGACTATATTATATCTTATCTTAACTTTCCACACCGTTTAGTTTACTCTCGTACGGCGTATACTCGTTTAGTTTACAAATCAAAAAGTCCAGTTATACTTTGTGTACGAAGAAAAAACTCGCACGCATAACGGTATGTTACATATGTGTACGTATAAATTAGCGTGACTTCCTGAACTGTGCGACCCCGGTACAGTTATAATGTGTGGTTACACATGACAAGGAAGGGCCAGTTGATAGCCTGGTCTCCCAGTTGTAGTATACCTCGGGCCATACCTATATTAAACACGGTCAGCGACTTGTTATTGTAAAATATCGTTCTAAACTTTAGGTAATCCTCGGTGGTCACTTCGTATATGGACATAACGGTATATAACGCGAGCGATGGCCCAGGTCAGAGGTTTGCACGGTTACACTATCAAGGTAATTGATTGTAGAATATTTCAGTATGATGTGGGTAAGTAGGTCTCGCTGAACTGTCCTATATAACCTTCTACACGTATTTGTAAAATATTTCGAATATAGACTCCCCTCGTACTATGTTGTCAGTAATAGCCACTCCTCTGTACTTGATTGGATCGCCTTAGGTTGTTAAGTACATCATAAGTATATATGTTCGGCAAAAGATGACGTGCGGATATTAATACTGCACGTGATCCGTCTTTTATAATTTTATCCTTTGAATATTTGGAAGAGTTATAACGTAATGTTAATTAGGACAGAAATTGTATATAAATTCAATTTCATTGCATTTTGCATCCAAAAGATAACTTGATGTGGATGGAACTGCAGACAGACACAACATAAACAAACGTATTGGCAATACCGAATGAATATATTGCGATACGTATCCCGATATATTGTCATAGGGAAGATGTGCTCAATTTTATATTAAGTTGTTGTCGGAATGTTATTAAACTTAATAATGTATAGTATGGATCACAAAGATTTCAGATTTTTGTCTAACCGACCATCGTTACAACATTTGAACTAATTCCCACCACTATAAAAGACTGTTTTATGCTTATTGGCATATCTGTTGGAATTTGTAGTAGTTTGCTACACCAAGCAGAATGAGATACATAAAAATAAGAATTTAAAAAAGTATTGCGACACAGCAATATTTCATCACTGTATAGTGGTACGATACGATATAACTGTGTATTGCGATATACTTGTTTTCCGATATATTGTGACAACCCTAATGTATATGTACATGTACTTCAGCACGTTACACAAAGGTTTTACATGAAGAATGATAATCTTAAATTCGCCTGTGCCCTGTTAATGAAGGTTTACTATTTACAAAATATGGTTACATGCAGTATATTCCGTACTTGACATGTAGAAGATATATTAATTTTACAACAAATCGGCCATATGGTTAACGGCCGATCGGGGAAGGGAATTGAACCCGGATCGTCTAGGTGAAAGACGAGTACACTATCCACTACTGTGAAGCTAGACTATTTATTACTATTTGCAGGCTATTTTGTTCGGTCCCTGTTAAATAAGTTAGTGTTACATAACATACTGCCAGGATATTTCTTTTCATTTCCTGTTAAACAAGTTTTACTGTAAGGTTACATGTAGATGATTATGTAATTTCATGGCAAATGAACAGGTGCGTGTAAATACATCAGAGACCCTTCCGAATCCTCTACTTATACGACCAGCAAGTCTACGCTCAGTTAAATGACAGTTAACGAATAGAAAAGCTATCGATTGATTATCGGCTACAAATATCCAAAATTCGTTGATTTACGTAAATTTTCCCCCAAAGTATACTTTTCATGCGTCTTGTTTAATTTCTAATTCTAATTTTAAATACATATTCTAAACGTTCATCAATATCATTATGTGGCCATATAATTTGATACAAACGTTTTATTTCCACGTGGGGGTAGTTACAATTCGAAAGTCGTATTTACTAGCACTTGTTCATTATCTACTGCGGGTCCGATTACTAGTATTGAAACAAATGTGCCAAATAGGTTAAAAACAAGGATTTGACCCATATATTAATCAACTAGTTAGAAGCATACATAATTTTGTGAGTCTCCTGATGATCGGCTGGTTGTAGAAATCTCTGACACTAATATACTCCTGACGACTCGCGTGTCTTCACTCCCATACTTTTCTCGCTACGAGCAGATAAGAGTTGACTTTAATTTAGACTTAATCTCAGTTATTTAACCAACACATTTTACGCAAGTATTATTCTAGACTTAAGATTCATATATTAAGTCTATAAAAAATAATAATTGAGATACTTTTTTTTTGAATTTGTGATAAACGATTGGTCCTTTTCAGTCTGTTGTGTTGTCACTATTATCAATTACAGACTTGTGTGGAGGTAAACAAAAGTGGTTATATGAACCTTTGAAAGCGATATTAACCCAGCACCCGATATGTAATTATAGCAGTGTTCATACGGAAGATGTCCATGTTAATGGTGGGATGACCAGAGGATTAGAGCATCTGTACAGCGCCCGTTCTCATTCTCATAAATATGGCATTGTATAGAGAAATGAACGTCGTGTACTTACAATAATACATTATATAATCTGTTAATACATAGGCACAGTCGTGCATAAATATATATGTATAGGTAGAATAGGTATAATGTCAGTTTTGCATATTAATATTCTGAATTATTATATATTTAAATTAATGCTGCCCGTTTGTGAGAAAAGTTGTGGTTCGTTTTCGTTAAGGCCTAACAAAAGAAATATTTCTTGTTTCCGGTAACCCTACCTACCCTAGTTTTTGTGCCTATACCCTAAACTTATTATAAGACAATCTTCAAAGAAACACCGTTAAAGTCAATATCACTCTCCTATATAAACCGTATACAATCATTTCTTAAAAGAAAGTTTGTTACCTACCTACCTACCCTTAATTTTTAATAGCTAAAAAATGGTAATTACATCTTCCAAGAATGTAATGAAACTCCTTTTCATAAAAATGACATTCTGCATCCGTTTTTGTAAAATCCTCCACAGAAAATGTATGTTCGTATCACCTACATGATGTACATAGTATTACCTATAGCGTTTATGTATTTCCTTTTGTCTGTATAGACATCAGCCTTAACATATTGTATCGCTGATCTGTCCTAATCGGACGAAATGGCAATATGGCCCCAGTAAATACTTACTTTGTTTGGCTATCTGCACCGGCTGGCTAATAATAGATTTTAAACAGGCGTTTCATGACTTCGTATTTCATGTGAATATTTTTTTTACCGTTC